CTACTTAATTAGAGGATCCTTACAATACTTTACTTCTTGAGAATATAAATACAGTCTCAATGGCAGAGACCAATGTAATCCACCAAACTACCATTAACAGAAGCAGAGCATTGTATATTTCCCAGGCATTATAACATGAAACTCCTAAAAGAACCACTATGCTTTGTTTAATTTTTGTTATATAAAAGTCTAAATAGCTCAGTGCAATGAGCAAGCCATACTTTTATACTCTGAAGGAGTCAGGTATATTGTTTTTGTCTTAAAGTAACATTTCCGTAAAGCAAAGAATCATCATACAAAGGGACCGTAGCATTAATGAAAATCAAGCTACATGGGACAACACTGGAGAAAATGGAATATCACAGATGTAGCAATAAGTGCAAATGAAATGCAAAAACCATTTGTAGTAACTTACCTTTTAGCTTAGGAACAATTATAGGGACCTTTCTGGGAACCAGAGGAAAAGAAGAAAATGCAAGCCTGAAAACAATGCACAGATCTGAATTCTACTCAGCAAAATCTGACAGAAAATGCAGTATGTCTATGGGAAACTTCTAACCAGATGCTAGCTATTAAATAACAAGCATTAATGTGACAGACAATACTGAATCTCAGATAGTGTGACATGCAGGATGAATAAGCAGGATTCTCATTCTCCATTTACTGAAGCACTGCAATAGTGGCAAAGACCATGGGCACGGGTTACCTCTGAAGTTTCTATGAGACATATCTTGTCTATCTCTTCCACATAGCTCAAGGCCACTTGGCAGTAGTTTCTTGAAGGAAAATCTGGCCTCATTCTGTGCCTTTGCCTTGATAAACACTAGTTGCTTGATTTTTTATGGGGTTTCTTTATGCCACAGCTTAACTTCAGAACAGCACTGGGACGCCTCCCAGGAATATGCTTTTTCCTTTGTTAGCTCTCTCAGCCTTTGGCAGGTTTTGGGGCATCCCACCGGCTACTAGTAAGATCAGACTGAAACAGCTCCTGCGTTTCTGCTGTCCTTTTCTTTTGCCTAGCTTCTTTCAGATTATTTGTGTGCACTGTCAAAACAGTTTATGCCAATAGGCTTAAAACACTTGCCCATGCAGTCACGGATTAAGTATTTGTTAACCCCGGGGAAATTTCACGCCAACACGTAAGTGCAGTTCCACTCCACTGGCATTAGTAACACTGAGAATTTAGCACAGTTAGGCTCTTTTTGATAGTATGGGTCAGGGAGTAAAGCAAACAGGAAGCTGTGTGAATGCAGTTTGCATGTTAACAAACCCAGACAAGCAGTCCCAGGGCTGAAATGTTATGTTCTGCCTCTCTGCAGGACTTATTAGCCTGGGGCAAGCCCAGTGCTAAACTGCATCTACCTCTTCTCCAGAGACTGTAAGGAAGAGCCTGCAGCTTTCTGAAAACCACCAGGTAAATACTCTGTTGAATAAAGTCGATGTAGTAAGAGATGCTTAAGTTAGCTCAGAGTTCCCAACACTGATCTTGCTTCTGGACATCTGGTAATCATGGGGATTTCCTCGAAAATTCTTATAGTTTGAACATGGCTTAGGGCAGGTGGCTAAATCAACTTTCTCACAATGACCAAAACCTGTCATAGAGACAAACACTAAAGATCCTGATCTATCCACTACTACTCGGTATAAAGGTAGCAAATTCTGGACTAAAAGACCGCTGAATAGTGACATCAAAATTGCGATGAAATTAAGTTCTATGCTCACTTAACATAAAGCTTCAGATTATCACCTGTTTGAAGAAAGCTGCTTTTCTAGTCACTTCTCTACTAGATGTTATTTGAACCATGATCACAAAAGTGAAAAGTTGTTTACACCAGGCACCATGTAAGTATAATTAATGAAAGGTAATGTATGGTCATATGGGAGTTGAAATTGTAGACACAGCCTTGGGTGATATGGTTTAGAGCGAGGTGTCCCTGCCCATGGCAGGGGGGTTGGAACTTGATGATCTTAAGGCCCTTTCCAACCCTAACTATTCTATGATTCTATGATTCTAACTAGGCAAAATTAAATTCCAGGCATCACTATAAAGGCTATGTCATAGTTCGTATAACTTTGTTTATGCTTTTGAGGAGGTACTGTTCCATAAAATTCACTGTTTTGAATAAGAAGCTTTGTATGACATTTTCAGGAGGTCCTCAGCTGGCCTTTGGCATTCAGGAAAGCTAGCACCGCTTTAATAGCACCATGTCCTTTCTTAGGGTTCTGTTCTAAAGGCTGGTAGTAATATCTGCTTCTGCCTGCTTTACAGTTCTGTCTAGTAATTTCATGTCTTCTGAATGGGATAATAAAAAAACCTGATAGCACTAAATTGTTTTTATTTTCTCTCACACAGATGCTTATTTAGTGACAGTTAAAAAAAAAATCTTCAACCACCTATAGTACATAGAGCTGTGTAACTCTGAAAACACCTTTGTAAAGGATCTATAACAGAAAAAAAGTGTGCTGCATCGGGGAGATTGTCCAGTCTAACAAATGTGCTCTCCGCTGTACAGATTTGTACTTCTTTGTATTTGTAAAATACTACTTCAAATATTAGAACCCTGGCTATGGTAAATATATTTAAGATCAGCTCAGTGCTGAAGACAGTGAGTGCACTGGTTTTAATAAAGCCACATCCCATTCAAAACATTATCAATAAACTAAGACGGCCTTTAACTTACAATATCATGTAACTGTAGTAGTGTGATACCGATGAACTGTGATACGATATTTGGTTAACACACGTAATCAAATAAAAACATATATTTTTAGTTCCAAACACAAACATAACATTATAATGTCATAATTTAATCACTAAAATGAGAAACACACAAATACTGTATACTTAAAAATATATAAAATAGTTCAGAAGTTACAGGAATTTACTGCTAAACTGTTTTTTGATTAGCAATATTGACTTTGTCAGTATTGAAACTTAATAAACTGATATTTTGCATAGGAAGAATAAAATTCAAGCATTTCAGTAGCAATAAGAATGTCAAAGGTTTATTTTTCTAATATGTAAAGGATGAAGATGAATAATATTAGTTTTAAAAGTCTGCAATGATGTTTAAAACTCTACTTTGGAGGAATATTTTTCAATACATTTTAACAGTTCTGTTGTGGTTTAAGCCCAGTCAGCCACGCAGCCACTCGCTCCCTCCCCCTCCCAGAAGGACGGGGAGGAGAACTGAAAGAATTTAACTCCCACGGGTTGAGATAAGAACAGTTTAGTAACTAAGGTATAATACAAAACCACTACTGCTACCACCAATAATAATAATGATAAGGGAAATAACAAGGGAAGAGAATAGAACTGCTCACTGCCCATCGACTGACACCCAGCCCTACCAAGCAGTGATCTAGCACTTCTGGGTAACTGTCCACAGTTTATATACTGGGCATGACGTGCTGTGATATGGAATATGTCTTTGGTCAGTTTGGGTCAGGTGTCCTGTCTCTACTTCCTCGCAGCTTCCCCTCCTCCCTGGCAGAGCATGAGACTCAGAAAGTCCTTTGTCAGAGCAAACATTACTGAGCAGCAACTAAAAGCACTGGTGCTATCAGCGCTGTTCCCAGGCTGAAGGTCAAAACCCCAGCACTGCACCAGCTAAGAGCAAACACAACTGCTACTGCTGAACCCAGGACAAGTAAGAACTCTTGTTCATTCCTTCTTCCTAGAGTACGCATTTTTTATGTAACTTAAGTACTAGACTATTAACCTATAATTCCAACTTAGCATCACCTCAAATCTATTCTGTATGCAATTAAACAATTTATATTAAATTGAATTTAGCAATAATGACATTTTGAAAAAATAGTAAGCTGTCTTCTAAGGTAAATGGTTAGTAAACATGTGAAAAGTATTTTTCTGGAAATACATATCACACCTAATCAGACTATTCTAATCATCTTATATCAAGGTGCCTGGACAACTAAAACTCGCAAATTCAAAAAATGTAATATTTATGAGTAAGTCATAAGACACTGTTTTTTTAACCTGTGCATCACAATTAAACTCAGACTTTCAAACCAATGTATAATTATAAAATGACTTGAGGCGGTCCCCATTCCTATGTCAAGAAACCTGTGAGAGTTTTGCTGTTGAGTTCAATAGCTGCTAAAACATACCTCTAGTAAAAGTTTAAAATCAAAACCCTGAAAGCAAATCCTGGAATCCCATTTTATAGCTGAAAGTGTTTTACACAAAGGAAATAAATTATAACCTTCCAAACTTATATAGTAAGCCCACCGCAAATCAATACAAGTATCTGTCACATGAAATGTATCTCATCATATGAAAATGTAATGCAGTGTCCTGAATAACAAAATAGCATCTTTCTTCACTTTTCTATATTTATCCCAAAGTAAATATTATGTATGCTATTTAAGTTAATAGGTTAGATACCAGATGGTCTAGCTTTTCAGTTCAAGGCAACATATAGTTAAACAGAAGTACTATTTTTCTAACTTAAAGCACCAAATCTAATTTTCTATTAATAGTCATGCACTCAGGAATCAGATTCCCAATTTGTAAATATTTTGTCAGTAACTGGACATTCATAGTAGGAACTAAAATTTTGACAGGAATTATCCAGAATGCATTAGCAGTCCTTTTGCTTAATACCTACATTACTTGCTTGCAGAAACAATACTAACACTAATTTGGTGTTCACAGACACAACAAACAGCAAGTACTCAGTGAATGGCTCACAGGCTGAATATAATCTACAAAAATATGGTACAAATAACTGTAAATAATAAATATACCTGCAGAAGGCAAAAAGGGGCAGCATACAAAGATTGTTATTGGCAAGATGCAATATATTTGTAATTTGATTTCACAACTGAACTTTAAAATATTGGCATTGAAATAAAAATAAAGAATCATATAAAAAAAACCACTTCTAGCCCTGTTGTCACTGCAGTACCATTGATTCTGTCAGTCCTGAGGGTACATTTGACATAAATGACTACAGTCAAATCCCCTCACTTATCACAGGCTCATCATAACTTGTCTGTGTTGATGAGCAGCAGCTTTATGTATCCACATTCCCAGCTGGCTTCTGGGGCTGACTAAAAGAAGAAAAATTGTCAGATTAGACTTTGAAAGGCCTTTTTTCTCCAGTACTGCAGGAATAAAAAGGCCAAGGCCGGGATATGAGTTTGAACATCAGTATGAGCAATGTTACTACTCCTAGTTATTTTAACTCCTGTTACTTTATAGGATTTCCACATGTAGCTTCTTAGTCAGGCACAATTCACTACTGCAGTGTATACATCAGTACTTAAACTTAGCAAGGTATTGAAGTTTCTGATCAAGCTAGTAAGTAAACTTCTTATTTTTCAATTTGCTTATTGTTAACTGTAAGTGGAAATCAAATTTTAAGTGCAAACTTACCACCTAGAGAATCAGAACATAGCTTTTAATCGAAATCAGAGTGAATTAAACCCATGAAATTTATTCAATTCCTCAGAAAAAACAGGTTTTTCCCCACATAAAGTTGTTAGATTTCAGCTAAGGCAAAACCCAAGAAACTTTTGGGTACCACCATAAACAACTATTGGAGGCCTAGTCACACATCCGATTCATTAAAAGCAACTGACCTGTATCACAATGCATATACGAATAAACTTTAGATCCCAAATATTACCATTTATGTGACTACGATGAAATGTTTTAGCGGACTACTAGATACAGTTCCAGCCTTAAATGTACAAGAATTAATAATTTCACAAATCAAAGGATTAACAGTCTTCCATCCTGCCCCTCCTTAGTGCTAGAAGAACTACAGGTAGATGCTTTTTTGTTTGTTAGCATTGTTGGGTATTTAAACAGCAGAAAATGCATTGCCTTTACAACATTTCATAATGTCTCCTAAAAGGATGGTGGAGTTCAACTTGAACTTTTAATTCAATATCCAAGTAAGCCCAACATCAGACAAAATTAATTCACTTATCTCTTCCTACATACCTTCTGGCAAATACAGATTCCAGCACCACAGCAAATAGTATATTTATACCTGTGTGTGCACATGTGAAGGCCCTATTCAGGGTTAAATAATACATAACTTGACAATGTATTATTTACTTTAGGAAGCACAACATGATTGATGCAATCAGACACAATATACTCCAGCACACATCAGAGAAGCTGAAAATTCAGGAGAAAGAAAAATCCACAAAACCCCAAACTAAATCACTTTTGTTATAGAAACAAGAACTAAGAGTCAGGCTATCATGAAAGAAAGCTAGGCACCAAGAAATCAATAGGTGAAGAAAATACTCATTCAATTTTAGCTTGCTATGTTCAAACGTTTTTCCAGTTTACCTAGTTTCAGTTTCAAATTACTAATTTTTCTAAACTCTTTTTGCTGTAGCATATTTTACATCTTCTTCCCATTAAAGTATTAACTGTATTAACGCTGTAATCATAAGGGTTTGACCTATTTAGTTAGAAGAATATCATTTTATGCATTTCTCTGAGTACTTCTTGCAAGCTAATTATAGGTCTCATCTTTTGGAAAACTAAGTTTTCCCCATAGACATGAAAAGCTGGGCCCCAAAACCAGAATCATAAATAACAGAATTATAAAGCTGCCCTACACAAGGTTAAAAAATGGAGACCTTTCCTTTTTTTGTCGGTGATTCCTTAATTCTACAACCAGAGATCACATTACAACCTCATTAGCCAACACATCACACATAGAGATCATGCTGAGTTATTTACCTGCTCTGATCCTAGTTATTTACCTGATCTTTTTCATATTGTCTCCTCAAAGCAGCCTCTTCTGTCTGGTCCTATGCCTTCATGTAGGTATTACATGGATTATTTGATTTCATTTTTTTTTCTTTCAATAGGCTTAATTTACCTCTCAATCTAAAGAGTTCTTTGACCTTGACAGTTTAGCTGTCCACCAAACTTTGAAAGTGACTTTTAAGTGATTTTCTATTTACTTTGTACTACTAAACGAATACTAAATAATATTAGACCTATCACTTATCTCTTCAAGATTCTGGTAAAAACACCCCCATTGACAACTGCTTTTGAGATCTGTCAACCAGCTAGCTCATCATTTATTTCACATGGGCTGCCATAGATATGAATAGTGCCATTTTCCTATCACGATGTTGAAGGCAACTATATTATATACACAGTTACCTTTATCCATCAAAACTGCAAACTCAGATACTGAAAATAAATTTACACCACCAGGCAGATTTTGCATATTGTGTATTGAGTATTTTTTACATTCTTTGGTGCTTTACTAGTTTAGGATTATTTTTCCCCCCATCTTGCTCATTTCTAATGTTTTGATGTTTTACTAAAAGCCGATCAGATAAGCCGTATTACAGGAGATTGTCTTGCTTGCCTTTCCTGAAAAAAAGGGCCCAACAGCTTTGTAGGGTACCTCAGTCTATTTATTTCAGTAGATATATTAAACCCTGAAAAATGTAAATATATTTTCAACCAATTCTTTTGGGGAAAGCGTGCAGTGTTCAGGGGTTACTCTGTATTTAAGCTTATTTTGAGGACTCTTGTTCACTTAATGTCCTACCCCAAATGGAGAAAGAGAACAGATTTCAGCTGCTGTTTAAGAAATGTCACCCTTGAAAGCACAATTCACAAGATACTTAGCCCTACTAATTTGAAAAGTTGAATCCCTAGGAGATGCTATCTTCTGTCTGCTATTACTAATGGACTAGAGTGCTTCATTGTTGTCAATCACATCACCAGATACACCTACATAATTTCATAGCTTTCCAAATACAAAATAAGTTTTTTATTAGTGAATACCTGTCCCTTTTTTACATTATTATTAATGGCTCATTATCTCCATCTGGCTTATGACCCAGTAGGATTTATTATGTTACACACACAGTTAAGTCAAAACTAAACACCTAGCCCATTATTTTATTGATTTCCATTAAGAGCCAGGGATTTCTTTCATGCTGTCTCCAACTTCTCTTGTCAATCTTCAATAGTTTCAAACTCCTAATTTTTACTGATTATTATTTTCTTATCTCCTCTTTCCTATTACCATATGACTGTTTTTAATAGCTACTGCCTTCATTTCATTGCTTGTGCTGTTCAGTGAACTGAGCAAATCAAGAAGAAATAGGCAGGCTTAGAAAGGGCCACAGAAAAGAGGAATGCCCATGTAAGTGGGAAAAGAACACAAGTCTTGAACTTGAAATTGGTACTTCAGAGGAAAGACTTCACCTCAGTAAAAAGATATCGGACATCTACAAGTGCTAAATATGATGTAAGAATTGAGTATTTTTACTCTGTTTTACCAAAAGCATTCATCCTGGACTGCAGAGTTGTGACCTAGCAAGCATTTTTAACATTCATTCACATTCTCTTCTTTCAAAAGTGTAAGCCCCAGTCCTCATAATAGTTATTACAGGCATTCTCTAGCATACATTTGTAAATAGAAGTCCCAATTAATAACAAATTGATACTTTACAAGGGTAGCTTATCCTGTTCTCTAGTCTGATTTGACCAGTATAGAGAAGACCTCTTCCTGCATTTGTTGTTGAACTGTGCTAGATAACACACTGACTTGCAGGCATTCAAGATCTAGCACTTGTGAGTTTTCAGCAGCCTTAAATGAGGTAATGATTTCTTTAATAAAGAAGATCTCTTTCTCACTGATAGAAACATGGATTCTAAATTCCAGAATGAAGTAAACAAGTTTACAGTATTTTGGTCATGTGAATCGCCCCAATCAGTATCTTCAATAATAGCATGTTTATAAAATATTTCATACCACTGACAATTTTTAGGTTTTATTTTTGTTTTAATATTTAGCCTTGATAACAAAGCAGCTTTAGAACTGCCTTTCTTCTCAATTTTGTGAGCTTGAGTTTGTGCAGGATTCATTTATTGAATGTTCTCTAGGACGCTTCTGCTTACCTGTCACTGAGAAGATCAGTGCTCCCCTATGAGAACAGGCTGACTTGCTCACTTCGATGTTTTTCTTGTGAAAACACAGTATCTCCCCCAAAGCACACACACATCATACGTACAACAGTTCACCTCTTGTATTTTCTGCTGTCTCTTGTTTATGAAACCATAAGGACATCTGCAAAGACACTTCATATTTTTCACCCATGCAGTTGCCTTCAGAACTCACATTGGAAAAGGCTTTTTTTTAAGTATGCAGTTATTCCATACCTTGATATCCTATATAAAGTTATGCAAAATAACTTTATACTTTCTGATAAACCTTGCTGTTACGGTTTCCATTACATGAATGTAGAACACCTTGTATTTTGTTTTTGAAAAGACTCATTTTTCTTATTTGTAATACAGAATTCTTGATAACTTCTTGCTTCTGTAACACGCTTTAATAACTTCCCTTAGTAGCCTTCTTCATGCCAAATAGCATTCCCAAAATATGTTCCTGGTAACTGTGTTTTGTCCTTCCAAAACAGCTATCTCACTATATGACTCATCAAATACATGATAAAAATGTAACATTCCTAGCTAAATAGAAGACCTCCTACTTCTCCTTAGCAGTTCATTATCAAATCACCAATCTGTTTCATTTTCTTTGTAGTGTTTCTGGCAAGGATCTCAAACTACGTCATCCCAAGAAAAACTTTATTTCCCTCAAATACTGTGTTGATATTTTCACTCCAGATCACTGACCTTCTCCTTCACAATTATCAGATTATACTTAATGCTGCTCCAATCTCTTTTTTCACTTTGAAGTATTTTAAGGACGAGGGCTTCATCAAGATGTAGGTTAGTGGTTGAATCCTTACAGACAGGGAGATGGAGAGATGAAGTGGGAAGCAGAATAGAAAACACAACCTGTCCAAGGCAGCTTAGTCATTGCACTTGATTACTCATTATCTTCTTCTGTTACCTGCTGCAAAGCCATCTGTTAGTGGAAGGAACTCTACTCTGTTCCTCCAAATTTGCTCAAAACCCCTTGTTTACCACTCTGTTCAAGCAGTTTCTTGGGACTGCTTGTACACATAAAGTTAATTGTCTTCCTACATGTTTACAAGGTCAAATGTTTGCCAACAAGATTAAGAAGTTGCCAGTTTTCATTCTTCAATGA